CAAGATCCCTCGCATAGTTACTACTACTGAGCAAGGTACCACCTATACTGTACCTGTGCATTTGGTTTTTCTTGCTTAAATGTAGAATCTTACTTTTCCCACTGAGTTAAGTAAATGGTTTGAATAAATGTCCAAAAATTCAGAATTAGGATAGTAGTTTTATACTATGAGAAATAAACATGCAAACCATGCTGGCCTGGGTTAATGTAAGCTCAAGGAAAGCTTTACAGAAAATAATAGCATGTGGGAATGAAATTTAGGTACATTGTGGCCACTTCAGCCCCACTGCATTGCTGCTGCTTCAGCACTGCCACAGTCAGCCAGAGTCACATGATCATTTCCAATGCTTCCTGATGGCTTCCAACAAGAAAATGGAAAAGCCAGCAGAGAAATCCATAAGTTGCTCAGATACGTCTTGCCTATCCATGCAATCTCCACAGCTCCTTTGTGCTCATGCAATGCCAACCACTTGTGTATCCCATGTGCACTCTCCCTGCCTCATGCTATATCTCATACAACCTTACACACCCCTGCAATTCTGTGCATCCTCCACAACCTGTGCAGCACCTCTTGTGCATCCTTCCTATCCATGTTGCACCTGTATGCCCTCCCTTCCCTTCCCCTCAGCAGCATTCATTTATCTACCTGCTGGTCTTGGATTTGCAACTTCCTGCTGGCTTCCCCACTGAATTTCTCCCTGCAAACTTCCCACAAGCAAAATAAATGGGGAAGCCAAAGGAATGTTAGGAAGGAAGGTAGGTTTTCTGAATTTCCTGGCAGCTTATCCAGGAACTCAAATCGGGAATCCAACAAGAAGTTGGAGCCATTCCACTGCTTTTTTGCCTGCCAGTTTTATTCTGTTTCTTTGTTTCAGTAAGGAAATATCTTTGAAATGATGACCAAAAGGGGTCCACAGGTTGCCTAGTACCCTCTAAAGCAGTATGTGTAGTTTAGTGGGTACACTACAAGCAACTCTTCCAAGAACTTGATTTAGGTGGCAAGGTTTTCTTTTCTCCTAGGAAGCTGTAGAAATATTGGGAAATAAGATATATGTTTGGGATTGCAAACAATATGTTTAAAATATTCCTCGCCAGATAGCATAGATGGGCACAAGAAAGGAAATACATACATCAACCTGTATCCAAGGTATGTCTTCGTTTCAGAATCTGTACTGTATTATATGAGTGATCATTATATGCAATGAACAGCTAAAAGCACCAGCAACCTGTTTATTCACTGTGACTCTGTTTCAAGGTACATGTATAGTAAGGTTGCATTTGACAGTCATACATACAAATACTGCAGCTTCTGAGGTATGGAATTAAGCACTTGCTTGTATTGCAGATGGATCAAAAAATATATTCAGGAGTAATAAAATGGATGAATTCCTTGTTCCTATTATTACTACTCTTGACTCACGTTTAGAAAGTGTTCAATATTGCATGTACTTTAAAAAAATTTAAATACTTATAAAATATTCTGAAAAATTAGTCCCATTCACACATGTTCTGTCTGTGTCTCTTTTCCTTGGGATGGAGGGGGGACTTTGTACTTGAGACTTCAGGCTGTCCATATGACTGCTTTCAGCTAAGCAGTATAAAAATCTTTTTTTAAAAAGAGGTGAAAAAATAAATTTACTGAGATAAGTAAATGGTTTGAATAAATATCCAAAAATCAGAATTAGGAGATTAGTTTTATACTATGACGTTGGCAGGATTAACCTTACATGTTACAGTAAAATTTCAGAAGTCAGGTAATCAGCAATACTATTATGCTTCCTGCCATACTCCTATTTAATTCAGTTTCCCTTATTTTTTTTACCCATTAGAACAGAAGTTAGTATCCATTATTCACAGATGCTGCTAAACAAAGCTCCCTGTAAAATTAAATATAATCTTAGTCTCCTTATTAGCTAACATCTTGCTTTGTTATTGCTTTGTTATTAACAAATATAATTCCTCTTCTGTAGTTTCAAGAGAAACATATATAATTCAATGTAGGTATTTAGAAGTACTAGTAATCCAACAAGAAAATTAAACAATATCTTAAACCTGCAATTTTAATTTCAGATTATAATTTTGGCTTTTAACATTAATATGGTGACATTATCTAGAAGCTTGATGTGAAATGTCAAATATACCAATGAAAAATACCATATCTGCTCTTTTATAAGAATTTGTTTTCTGCTTATTTTTATATTGCTTTAATATAAATAAGTACATTGTGGCAGAATATTTTGAGGGGTTTGTTATAAACAGGATAATTAACTCAAAAAGTTCAAATCTGAGAACATTAATGAATTCTAAATCAAACCCGTAAATCCACCCGAAATATAACCCGAAGGGTTGTAGTATGTCATACAAACCTTTTCATAGATAATAGCTCTGATTCTTCTTCCTCTTAACATTGGATTTATATTTAAAAAGGAGCTTAACAAGCAGAAATAAAATTGAGTTTTTCTAAAGAGCTATTGTTCAACCAAAGAAAGCAGTTATTTCAGACTGATTTTGTTGATGAACCAAATGTTCTCATCAGAACAGAAAAAAGCAAGCACTGTGCTATCAAATTTAATATACATGTAAGTGGAAAGTTGCTATGGAAGCTCAGTAGTCATAATGGACTTCAGAAAATGATTAATTTCTAGATCCGATTGATTAATTTGCATTAGGAAATCGTATTTATGCTATTTGAAGAACTCAAATAAGAAATATGCTCTAACGTGGATGAAAGAATGGCTTCTATATCAGAAGCCTGGAAGGGGAATCAATGCAAAACCATTTTTTTAAAGCAATCAAGTACTTTAACATTTAGTCCAAGTAAACTGAGGCAAAATAGATTTTCAGTTATCAAGCAAATAGGAGGATAGAAAGTGCAGCACAGCTAATCACTGAGTTTTTTCAAAGTTTTAGCCATCAAGAAGAGGTATTATTCTCCTTATAAGAGAAAACAAGGAAATTACATAAATGCAATAAAGTGGCCAATGCAAGAAGTGGCCAAGGAGCTAGGAAAAAGCAATTTGGGTCTGCAATGCAATTCATAGAACTGCCAATGGAAAAGAGATTGGGAAACAAACACTTCACTTCACTACACAATCAAACAATAGAATTTGTGAACACAAGAAGTGATAAGTGAATGAGTAAGCTGAAGTGACTGAATAAATTCGGAACAAACAGTGAAATGGCTACACTGCCACCTCCTGTAGTATTTGATTTGATTTGACTGAACTATCACCCTGCCATTCTGCCCCAGTGAATACTGAAGGTAACCAATAAAATTGAAAACAAAATATAAAAATTTAAAAGTATAAATTAACACAATACTAAACCAGCAAATTAAAAGCCTGGCAAAATATATGTCTGTGTTTGATCCCTATTCTCAGGGGTTTAGACAATATGTACAGTATTTATGCAGACTGTCCAAACACGTGAGAAAAAGGGACAAACACAACCTCAAACACTGCATATTTGGGGGAGGGGGGACAATGCAGAATACATCTCTTCGAACTTTAAACTGTTTAGGATTTTATTGGAAAACCTTAACACTCGTTACTAGTAAGTGACTAGTAATCAGTGCAGATTTCTTTTAGTATAACCATCATATGATCCTGTACCCGACAGCAGATAGCAGCTTAAAGGCAATATGCCCCTGAATACGAGTTGTAGGGGAAATATTAGAAAGGTGCTATATTTCTCTTCGACACGTAATTGGTCATAGTGGGAAAAGAATTCTAACCTAATTAGGATTTTGAACTGAACAGCAAGGTTGCTCATCTGTTTCCCAAAATTTATATTTACAAGTCTACAAAGAAAAAGTAGTGTTGCATTTTATTACTAAGTATTTACCTAAATTAAGAGCAGTTATAGTAGCTAAAGGCCAAGACTAAAAACCCGGAGACCATGAGTTCTAATTCTGCCTTAAGTTAAAAAAAAAAAAAGCAGCTGAGTGACTTGGGCCACTCACTTTCTCTCAGCCTAGGAAGGAAGAAATGGCAAACTACTTCTGAAATCTTGCCAAGAAAAATGCATGACCTTATCCATATGGTCACCCGGAATCACGACAGATTCAAAGGCACAAAACAAACAAACCCAAATTATAGGCAGTCCTTGAAAATGGGAATTTGGACTGGAAATTATATCACTAAGCAATGCAATCACAAAGAGCATCCACATTGCTTAGCAATGGCAATCCCTGCAATCCAGGTTGCTGCCATTAACTGAATTCCATGTTCCTTATGTGAGGCAATTTCCTGCCAACTTCACATAATCAATGGGGAAGCCAGCAAGAACATGTAAGTCCCAGGTTAAGTGGCTACTGCTGGATGAGGGAGTGAACAAGGAGGTTGGTAGAGAAGCCAGCAGGGAAGTTTGCAATCACAAGATCACAGAGCACTGAGCAACCAGTTGTGTCAGATCATGATCACATGATTGTGAGGTTGTTGGGATGGCTGAAACAGGACCAGTCATTCATTCAGCACTGTCATAACTTTGATCACTGAACAAATGGTCATAGGTACATTTACAGCTGTAAATGAATCCACATTCATTTGATATATTTAAGCCTTAGACTGCTTATGAATGAAAAGGTTGCTTATACTACTTACAAAAAGAATGCCTTTAATATTGGGAATCTGAATAATCGTATAGAAAAAAGTTTGGCCGTGTATAGATTTTGATTAGAATGTTAGCATTAAATGCCAGTACTGTATACTTGGTCTTGAATAAATTTGCTGAATTTCAAAAATCTTGCCTGCAAATTTATAAATTAATCTAGACTGAATAAATGAAAATTATACATGATATGCAAATGTCTATACCCTATCATTGAGACAAATAAAAATGAGGAATTTCAATATCAGGCTGCTACCTTATTGCAGAATGGCTCCATTGGTGTCAAATATAGATGACATTAAGATTAAAACATGGAAATCAGTTTTTTTTTGTAAAGATCAACATATAAATATGTAACATATAAATATGTTCTTGTTACTTGTTTATTTCAAAAGATACTATATTTAGATGGCACAGTATGGATATACAGTACATTATGAAACACTAAACTGAATCTAGATAAATTAATACTTCAAGTAAACATACTGAAATCACGGGGACTTAAAAAAATGCCCTGATGGGCTGACTCTAAAATTGAGTTTATTTAACATACTAAGCTAAACTCTACAATATAACCTAGCTTAATTTGTGAACTAGTCTATATTAAACCCTCTACTTCAAAGTCAAAGAAAGTTTGTTGAATACTCTTAGGCTGCTTTGTGAGAAAATGGAGCAAGTAACACGTTTGCAATTTTTAGGGTCCAGTATCCTAATAGTTATAGGTATGGCATTGTTTCCAAGCGTTCTTCTCATTAGAAACATACACACATCTGGATAAGTTTTTCTTCATTTTATTTGTCTATCCAGGTGTTCAAAGAGCTTAACAATGGATGTTTGGCTACGTCTTTACATAACCATCCTTTCTCTTAACACTACAAACAGGATGCACAACTACAGGTCTTTTTTTAAAAAAAAACCAAAAAGTTGCAGAATATCACAACAAATTGAACAGACAAATTATTCACTGAAATTCATGGGCAAGTTAAGTACATAATAATGAATTGTAGTCCTATTTATCTCTCAATTAAAGGCCGATACTGTAATTCCCTCTCAAACTGTTCTGCTGTGAGGGTTCCTTGGATAGCTTCACAGCCAGGATTAAATACAGAATATGCACTTTTTTCTCCAGGCTGCTTTTCCCTAGGACCACGAGTTCCTACATAGATCCAATAAAACATAGACAGGACAAAATAGGGCAAACCAAAACCCAGTTCCACAAACAGTCCAAGTAGGACCAACCAGAGAAGAAACTTGAGAAAGATTTCATTCTTTAGTATATAATGGGTCCACCATGGCAGAGGAGATGTAATGACGTGGGCCTCATGGCTTTCTGATTTTTGACTGGATTCCTGGGAAATAAAATAAAAATAACTGGATTATACATGAGGGGATTGCCATGACCTTGCTGAGAAGCATAATAAAAACATACTTGCAACTTTCTCAGTTTTTGCCCCTTGCTCTTAATCCTTTCATTCTTCCCTCATATAATTGTTTTCCAATAGACCTTAAATTCGATCTCTATACAATCAAGCCACTTCAATGTACAGTATTGTTTTGTACTGGTCACTCAATTTTGAATTCTAAAGTTGTTATTCCTTGGATATTCGAAGATGCAGTCTTCCATATGCCATCATCAGCTACAGATGAACCAACAACTGCTGACTTCTACTGCTCATCAAGCCATTCAGACTTTTAGGTAACATTTTTAGGTATAAGGTATAAACTAAGTTACCAGCCTTAGGCACCCCTAACATAATTTCTTGCTCATTGATAGCTATTACTTAGCATTGAACTTTAGTTGTGTTCACTAACACCCAGCATTGGAAACACATTATATCTATGTTATAGGCCCTGCACTGGCTACCAATAAGCCTGGGGGCAATCCTTAAAATGCTGGCTTCTACCTATAAAGCCCTCAAGGTTATTTTCAAAACTGCATTCTCCAAGTGAAATTAGTTTAACCATTTGGGGTATACAGAATCCCTTTCATTTTTCTCCCAAGAATTCCCACAAGTCCTGGCACTGGAAAAGCACCAGCAAGATTTTGTTCAATTGCTAGCCACTCCCGCAGAACAGGTGTTGTTTGGTTGGCTACCGTCATTCACGTTTGATAGGTATGTTCTGTGCTGTCAGGCCTTTGCAATGAATTCTGTAAAGCAGGGGTCCCCAACCCCTAGTCCGTAGATCAGTACCAGGCCGCGGCATGCCAGCAATCGGTCCACACAAATAAAGCCCCATCTATGGGATGCAGGCAGCACACAAAACCACGCACCCTCTGGTCCAGGGAAAAACTTCTTTCCATGGAACCGGTCCCTGGTGCCTAGAAGGTTGGGGACCTCTGCTGTAAAGGAATGGCTTGGATTTTTCTTTTCTTGAAAAATTAAACAAAATAAGCCACTGACTGGGTTTTGGTGTTCTCATAGCACAGTTGCGTGGGTGGACTTAATTCTACCCTATGCAAAATTGGCTCCATTTTTAACCTCAGGAGTTAGTTGGCTGGGCCAATTGACCCCTTTTTGGTGTTCCCATGGTACACTGACCATTCCACTGACGCAATTTTAACATGTTGGAGGAACAAGGTCAATGCATGGAATTAAACAAAAGAAGGCTCTCCTCCCAATATTTATTTATTCCATATAAGTGAGTGCATGCTACTGGAAAATAGTCACGTTCATTTTTCTGGAATAGCACTTATAAAAAAAAAATCCTGAGAACTTCTTAAAACTGCATGGTAGCCACATTGTTAAATTGAATTACCACTTTTCCCTACAACTCTTGAGTTTAAAACTTCTTTCTCTTCAATGGCAGAATAAACATTAAATTCAGTCTCCTGTTACAGGAAGTACAGGACCTATGCCAGATTACCAAGAAAAGTCATCTTAATTAGTAACATTTCATTAGAAGTAAATATAACTAACTAGTAGCATTTCATAAGGAAATGCCACTAACTAGTAGCATTTCATAAGGAAATATATAGTATATAGTATGTATATAGTATAGTATAAAGCATAATAAAAACAACAGGCCTTAGATCTGATTCTTACTTGCCTGATCAATAACCATGAATTATTTAAATAGGCATGAACTCTTTTGTCGGACAAGCGTTAATCAAGTACAAGGCTAAAGTTATATTCATTCAGCATCCTTTTAGCCACCAATATTAAGTGGTGGCGAACCTATGGCACGGGTGCCAAAGGCGGCACTCAGAGCCCCCTCTGTGGGCACGTGCGCCGTCGCCCCAGTCCTAGGCCTTCAGCTGGATTTTATAAAACCTTTTCGCTTTAGGCCTCCGCCGCCGTGTGCAAAAAAAAAAAAGGTTCAATCAATCAGTCAATTTCAACTTCTCGCGGGGAAAAAAAAAGATCTTGCAAAGTTGGGATTGATTGATTGAACTTTTTAGTCCCACCCAGTCTGCCATTACCACCACAGCCATGCCCACCCAATGGGCCACGCCCACCCGGCACCCGACGATGCATAAGTGGGTTTTGGGTTGCAGTTTGGGCACTCGGTCTCTAAAAGGTTCGCCATCACTGTAATAGACTATCAGTGCCTTTAAACCTTTCACAACTTCTCATTTAAAATTTTGCTAACTTGTTTTCCAAGCAGTGGCTTCTCAGAGCTACTAATAAAGATTAAATACAATAAAACAAGTGGAAATGCAGATGCCCATGATTTTGGAATGTTTCTGCACATGACATTTGGATGCAAAGGAAGCAACTTACATACTTGCAACTTATATACTTATCCAGTGGTGGGATTCAAATATGTGAACAATCATTCTGGGCCTGGGCAACAAAAAATTAGCTACTGGTTCCGCCGAAGTGGTGCAAACTGGCTGAATCCCATCACTACTTATCACCTGCAGACTGACAGCATGATGCATGTTACCATTTTTGACACGTGACCATTTTTTATGTAATAGTGCGGCTTGCTATGGACACTAATATCTATAAAAGACTAAAATGCTATATAAAACCATAGCATCTAAGATGTCTGGGCAAAAGGCTTCGTAGTAGGCATTAGATCAGATTCCCTTAAAAAACAGGCAAGAACTGTAGACCACAGCTGATAAGAACTACCTGTATTCAGTGCCAGAAATCCCAAGGAACTACAGTATGCAACCTAGCTGTTTTCACAAGCACACATGGTCTCAACACCTCTCTCTTTCTTACACATTTAATAGCTAAAGTAATATAATGAATGAAATATAACTGTACCAAAAAGATTCACATCTGGCCAAGCTGCTTGGCCATAGGCAAATTATTAGCAATCAAGCCTATCTATCCTCACAGAGTTAGTGTAAATGTAGTCCCAACAAAATAGGGAAGAACAACATCAAACTCTTCTTGTATCTCTGGATGAAATGTAGAATTAGCAGAAGCCCCCTTGCAAGAAAAACAAGTACATGTGCATATGCAGAAGAATTAAGAATTGCAAGTGTTCAGGACTTCTGCAATTTCCAACTGGAGCCTTTGCAGGGACAATCACCATTATTTTTTTTACTGGCATTGGGGAAAACCACAAGGAAAGACAATTTCAAAAGGTGGCAGTACCTGGCTGACCTGTACTGATCCTGAAAAAAAAATAAGCAAGGTTGGACCTGGTTAGTTCTGGAGAGACCACCAGGGGAATCAAAGATGACTGGGAAAGTGAAAAAAGGTCCAGCAAAAATGTGTACTATCGTCCACCTGTCCATTATCAACTACCTGTCCACACAGTCACCAGGTAAGGGAGACATTTAAGGCAGATCTAAGGTATATGGGGGATGGGGGTGGGAATTAGACAAGTCTGGGCACTGTTGTTATTGGATTCCCTCCAGAAACAAGGTTATAAGCGTTAAAAGTTATCTTATACGCAACATCGTCCCTTTCACGTATGCAGAAAAGGTGCCATCCTAGGACTAGCCGGCCTTTGGTAGCTCCAATAGAAGGGGAGCAGCTGTGAAAAGCGCCTGGCTCCGTCGCCCAAGTCTGCGGGACTGGGAAAGAAATAGCAAAGGGGAACTTGGCAACCACCGTTCTCGGGACGTAGAAATGCACCGACCTCCGTCGGAGCCTGGGCTGAGGCCTGGTCCCCGGCCACAGTGGCGGCAGGTTTTCCCGAAGAGGTTGCAGTGCGAGTCGGGGGGCTGGAAATGCGGCGATTCGTCCGGAACTCGGCCAGCCTCTGCTCCATCCCGCCGAGGGGACAAGGAGAAGAATTGCCGCTGCCCAAAGCCGGCAGCCCCCGGTCGCTCCGCCGTCGTTCACTGGCGGAAGAGGCGGGCAGAGCCAAGTGGGATGGCCGGCTTAGAGAGGACCGCCCCTGGGCGGCTCAACAACTCAACGGAGAGCGGAAGGGGGACGGGCCGTCCGCAAGCCGGCTGGTATTCGGGGAGCTTGACGCGGCTTTCCTGCCCGAGAGCTAAAGGCACTTGGAGGCGGCGGTGGGTTGTACTTCGAGGAGTAACTGGTTGCTCCGCCTCTGCCTCTCCGCTTGATGAGCAACTTGGCCTTCTTGCGAGCGACCCCAGAGGGACAACAAAGGAGTAAACTGCTGGTGGCCTCTCTTGCATTACTTGTGCGCTGTCCCTGGAGCGCAAGGAGAGCCAGCTTCTCTTCTTTAAGGTTACCCTAGTTCAGTTTTCAAAAAGAGGGCGGTCTGCCTTCGCAACTCTCTTGCAAATAACAGTAACAACAAAACAAAGCCCTAAGGGTATGTCTTCGAATGAGCTCCTGTGCAGTAAATGTCAGTGTTGCACAAATGTGTGTGCCTATTACAGAATGGGTTAGAGAGCCAGCTTGGGGGTAATGCTTAAAGCAGGGATCCCCAACCCCCGGTACGTGGACCAGTACCAGGCCGCAGCATGCCAGCAACTGGTCCGCACAAACAAGCAAAGCCCCTTCCTTGGGATGCAGGCAGCACACAAAACCATGCACTCTCCAGTCTGCAGAAAACCCTCTTTCCACAGAACCGGAACCGGCCCCTGGTGCCCAAAAGGTTGGGGACCTCTGGCTTAAGGCATCAGACTAGAAGTGAGTTCTAGTCCACCTTAGACACAAAGCTAGCTGGGTGGGCCAGTCACTTTCTCTCAGTCCTATAACATTTTTCTGAATGTTAGGTTAAGATACATGAATCATATTTTTTTTATCATTTCATTTCAGTAGTAGGGAGATTGGAAGCACCAGAAATTTTTGAAGTTCATGTTTGCATTATATTGCCTGGCTTTTTAATCTGTCGGAGCAGCTTGAGCAAACCTCTAAGTTAGGTTCAGTTGACATCATCCTCTGCTATTGATTTCCATAACTGCACTGATAAAGGCTCAAGAAAGCAATTTATTTACTTTCGTGTACTGCTTTGGTGGGCTTTTAGCCCAGTCAAAAACAAAACTATTTAAGTGCTGGTGTTTTGAAGCTCTGAGGATAACATATGTTGTTAGCTGTTCCACCCAATTTTGAATATCAGATGGTTTTGGAATAGTATTAATGATGTGAAGAGATTTCATTTGTTTTCTTCAGGACAGATTGATCCATTTAATATATTAAGAAACTGTTTCCTCTGTGACCTGCATATCACTATATCTTGAATTCTTAAATGATGCTAATAAAACAGCTTGGGCCAATCATTCTCTCTCAGCCCAACTTACCTCACAGAATTGATGTGGGAAAAGTTGTAATTACCTCACAGAATTGATGTGGGAAAAGTAGGGAGAGGAAGGTGTGTTGGATGTGTGTCCACCTTGAGTTATTTGCAAAAATAATAAAGGTAAGATAGAAATAAATAGCAGCTTCATTTGGCTTTCTCAATTCCCAATTCAGAGGAGCTGATGGAGTGAAATCTACCTTTTTTAAAAAAAATGTATGTTACAAAAAATTGTATGTTGTACATTCTATTCTTTGCTACAAAATTTCCAGCGCTTTAAAGAAATTTATTTAGCATAAAAGTTGTTACATTTTTGACAAAATATTGTATAATGAAAGTGTTACAAATCTGTGCTTTTTACTTCTATTGCTAGGACTGAACATCAAATATTATTCTTTTAAATCTGGCAAAACTAAGAAGAAAATAATTGAACCACTATTTGTTTAAAAAATGACATTTCACAAACATATTTGTACTCTGACTCATTTCAGAAAGCAAAATGCTGCAAAGTCCTATAAACTCGAAAAACATTTTCCATCCTTATGGATGAAACGGTATATTGAATAATCATTCAGGAATGTAAGTAAAGTTACTACTATTATAATGATCCCTTTGCACCTAAAAGCATAGTTTACGATGCTGCTTGCGTAGAGATTTAAGTGAGAGGGCAGTAAATGAGATATTTACATGGTATGATATTTCTTCAGGTTCCTGATAGGTCTATTAGTCATGTAGGTCTGACATATTTGGAATAGTAAACCATTTTCTGCACCCAATTCTGCTAACAATAAACAAATAAAGAAATCCCCAGATAATTCTACTGATTTGGCAAGTTTACTTCAAACAGCCCAGTTCTATGAAGTATTATGGCAAGGTAATAAATAATAATAATTCCAAAATGTGTAAGTACTCTATGTTTTTACTGAGAACAACCTAAATATCACCACCAAAGTGCAAAACCTGAGTTTTTCAAAATGCTTCATCAGGTGAGAGTTCAAAAATCAGAGAATAACGTACTGTAGAAATAGAAAAGTTACAATATTAAACTATATGACAGTGATGGTGAACCTTTTAGAGACCGAGTGCCCAAACTGCAACCCAAAACCCACCTATGCATCGTCAGGTGCCGGGTGGGTGTGGCGCATTGGCTGGGTGTGGCCAATGGGTGTGTATGTGGCCCATTAGGTGGACATGGCTGCAGTGATAACGGCAGATTGGGTGGGACTAAAAAGTTCAATCAATCAATTCCAACTTTGCAAGATCTTTTTTTCCCGTGAGAAGTTGAAATTGATTGATTGATTGAACCTTTTTTTTTTTTTGCACACAGCAGCGGAGGCCTAAAGCGAAAAACCCAGCTAAAGGCCTAGAACTGGGGCGACGGCGCGCATGCCCACAGAGAGGGCTCTGAGTGCCGCCTCTGGCACCCGTGCCATAGGTTCGCCACCACTGCTATATGATGTGTGATTTAGAGTCTGTTTTAAAGCTTCAGTTGTGTATCGACTGCTTGAGATGTGAATAACATATTACACCTAGCATTCTGGAACAAAGCAGAAATGGGTCCCCTCGCATCCACCCACCTTTGTCCTGTTCTAATTCATAAATCCAGCTGTACTTTAGATCTGTATTTTATTCTGGACAAAGTATGCAATGTTGTAGGCTGGAAGAAAACAAACAAACAAACAAAAACAACAACAACAACAACCCATAGCCACCATTAACATTAGCAAACCTGAAAATCAGCTTTTGTAGAACATGGGCTCTGAAGACCGTATTACAATTGTAATAGATCTCTAGCCCAATTCTACTACATGCATTTCACATTCAGCCTCTTCATATTGCAGCTTTGTGGCATTGGGAGAAAGAGAAAGAATGTCCAAGAGAAAGAAAGAATAAGGAGAGCAAAGCCCCAGGCCTCTCATCTTCTTGGCTACTATAAATAACGATTGCTCTTCGGTGACAGAGGTGAGCATCTCAGTTATGCTTGGCAAGGAAGAAGCTGAGTTTGCTTTTTCTTTAAGTTAAGATACACTTGCCACATTAGATTTATTTTTGTTCTAAGAAACAATGCTCTACAGGAACCCAAAAAAGTTATTCTGATTTCTTAGAAAAGTTGGACAAATGGAAAGATGGCCTGTATTGCCTCTTTACGGAACAGATGTTATGGAAAAACATTTATCCTTTCATATCAGATTTCAGTATGTTGAGGAGAGCACATTACTACCAAGGACAATTTGTACAGATTTTAAAAGTTAAGACTTTTTCAAAAATACATGTTTCTCTTCAGTAGCATTTCATAACAAAACATTTGGCTACTCATTTCTGTTGGAAATCCAAGGTCTAATTGAACTGGCCTGAGGTCTGGGGATTTTTGCAGAGGCCATTTTGAACCAATGCATAATTATGTGTTGAATATTAATGTTTGTAGGGGAGGAAATATCCCACATTTGCCATCTGCAAACAATTATGTTAACATTTGAACTAATTTTCCAAAGCTTGGAAAAGTCTAGAAAGTGAATTTTCATTGTGTCTTTGGGTTCTGGCACTGGAAAAGTTATTTTCGTGTTCCTCTTTGGCTCTGAACACACAAAGAACTATACATTCTGAAAATGAATTATGAACATTGCCCTAGAAGAAACCAATTTTATTGTAAAATCACTCATAATTTACTTGGAGTTTTATCCTAATCTCCCCAGTTTTTAAAAAAGAGAACTTGTATAATCTCCTCTTTCTCCATTCAGAATGTCTGTAATGATTGATATGTTTTTTATAAAGACAATTTTATCAAATGAATATTAACTTGTTGACCCTTATAGCCCATTTATCATAAGGAGGATCTGAATTCAAGACTAGCAAAGCAAATTAAGCAACCACTTAGCATCACCATTTTTAGAAATATAAGGATACAGCAGGCTATCAAATAGATTTATTCTAATTTTCCTCAGTATTCCAAGAAAACCTGACATTGTGCACTTGTACCTTATTAAGTATTGGACTGTTCCTTTAATATTGTATATATTCATGTTAGAGTTGGAAGGGGCAATTGGGCCACCAAACCCAGTCCACTGCCTAATCCAGGAGTTCAGATTAAAACATCTTAGATCAATGTCTCGTAGCTTTGTGCTTATATGTAACCCACAAAAGTGATTCCATTGTTGAACTATTCTTTCTCTGAAAGTATTTTTTAATCAATAGGAATATGCCTTCTTGTAATCATTTATTCACTGCTCTGCACATGTCACTAAAAAGAGTGTGTCTTTATCTTCTATGTGAAATTTTTAAAGCTCTGTCAAGTTTTCTAAAGGCTAAAATGTCCAGTTCCATCAAGCTATCTTCATGAGCCTTAGTTTCTATCACTGATCACCTTGTTGCTTTTCTCTGGGCCTACTGCAATTTCTCTGAATCCTTCTTAAAGCATAGAGAATTGTTTTATATGTTTTGAGCCATTCCGGTTACTAAGGCTCTACATTTTAGTTGTAACCTTGAATTGGATTGTAGAGAACTATTGCATGAATTTATTGATGTTATTTTGTACTATGCCTGTTTATAGGCAGATGAAAAATGAAGCAACTAATATTATTGCCCATATTAAATTTCATTCCATTACTTTCAGCCAATTTTCCTAACCTCTCAA